CAAGTCTGTCAGTTTGCTTTCTCTTTCCAGTCATCTTCACCTAGGTGGGTTCTTGAGGCCCACTGTTATCAAATAGAATCTGGCAGGGTCATACACATTCCAAGAGCCTCTCTTAGGTTTCTCAAGGCTTCTAGAGGTTCTTGAATACCCGAATACTCCATTCTGAAAGCTTGGGTACCCTGGCCCTTGCAACCCAGGCAGCCACCCTCCAGGACCTCCTCCTCCTCCTCCACTGCATAAACCTAAACCTGCCTGACAACCCCCCCTCCTCCCTGCCACAGCCTCAAGTGCAAAGTGCTCCCTCTGCCGGACAAAGAAGTAGACTTTGACCGTTGCCTGTAAGAGTGTCTTTTGCCAGCTTCACCTATATCCTAATTGTCCAACGCTCCGGGTCCAAGCACAGACTTCTGGAGCTGCTGGGTCCATCCCGGGTGACCGCTGAGGTCGCAGCAGCCACATGACTTTCCCAGACACAATTAGACGTGATGTGTCTCAGAGCATTGATGCAGATTTTAGCATCCTAAGGGTGGTGTGTGTGTGTGTGTGTGTGTGTGTGTGTGTGTGTGTGTGTGTGTGTGTGTGTGTTGGGGGGGTGTCTCAAAACAGTATAGTGTGCTGGATGTTTAAACTATGGAGCCAGGCTGCCTGAATCTGAATCCTGGCTCCTCTTTCTCTTATAAGCCATGTCTTAATTTCCTCCTCTGTAAAATGGCAACAAGAATAATAGTGACACCCCCCCCCCAGATAAAACAAATGGAAATAATGCTGGCCTCTTTGGGTCAGTAAGAGATTAAATGCATAGACACCTGTAGACAGAGCTGGAGCCCTTCGTAGAACCTAGATAGGTGTAGGTGTGTGTGTGTGTGCATGTGTGCGTGCCAGCTCAGATGTCAGCTATTCCCATGCTATTAAGATGAGGAATACGGAGATAATGCATGTTCGCTGTGTGAGAATCACAGTCTTGCAGTGAACATTTGTTCAAATTGTGTACCTTCCTTGGGTTCTCTTTTTGGGTGTGAATTAATAAAGACATTTTAATAAAGACTTAAGCATGAGAGGTAAGGGGCCGTTTGAAAGACACTTGTGAGAGCTGGGCAGTGGTGGCACACATCTTTCTTTGATCCCAGCACTGGGGAGGCAGAGGCAGGAGGATCTCTGAGTTCAAGGCCAAACTGGTCTACAGATCAGTTCCAAGACAGCCTCCAAAGCTACACAGAGGAACCCTGTCTAGTCATGGAGAGAGAGAGAGAGAGAGAGAGAGAGAGAGAGAGAGAGAGAGAGAGAGAGAGAGAGAGAGATGAGAAGATGAATGTAGGTTTAAGAGAAATGGGTTTATTCTTTTTGGTGCTGCTGCAGGTAAAACTCAAGGCCTCTTAATAACAA